CTCCATAGAAACTCCTAGAAATCAAAGCGAGACTAGACAGTTATGCGAAGGCTTAGTTTTAAGTGTGCACACTGTTAAACATTTGAAAATACGTTTGTTATTCCGACTTTTACGCTGAAAACTCGAACTAACTCCCAGAGAGAAAAATATAAATTGACAGTTGACGGATTATTTTGTTTTCGTCATTGTCACCTGAGTGATGAATGGACATCACAATAAAAAGCTTTTTTTACTATCTTTTTAAATTAAAATGATCTTTTTATTTCAATCCATTCGTGTCTGATGTCGATTACATTTACTATGATGTTATGAATGAGATTTTTATTTCATATTTTACAATAACTCGTCTAGACTACGTCTAACTACCTTGCACGTAAAAAGCGTCATAAAATGCGGGTTAAATCAAGAGTTGTCACAAATAACTAGATTTCATACATACATTTTTATTACATTGTTACTCAGAACATAGCTTTCTTGGTAAAATCAGTTTTTAAGTTTACGATGAAGTTAGATGTCTAACGTGAAAATAAATATGAAGAGATCCAAACTGATGGAAATAAATACTTAATTCAGTCGAGACTTAACCACGGCCGTCTAATGTTTCCCAGTTACTTGTAACCATTCGTTAGTGTTTTTGGTTCAAAAAATTCTTGAAATGCGTTTCTGAATTACGTAACTTGAGTTTTACTCCGTTGAAACATAGGTCAACCTAATACTAATGAATTGCTAAGTAGTGACAAAATAAGTAGAAACGTCAGAAACCCAGCATTAGTGAGTAGCCTCAGATGACGATTAAGTGAAGATTACTTGAATTCCAATACGCGTACACCTCATTACTGTTACATCTATAGGTACTAATATAACAAAGCATAATCACACACTACTTCGTGGCGTAGGATGTCAGCAATCACAACATGTTTTTGAATAATTCTTTCTTTAAAATCCCTACACTTACGACACGCTTTATGCTACATATTTTAACGCTATTCAACTTGAGGAGTAAATAAATTGGAAAAACCTTCATGTTGGAAATGGACCATAAACTATAAGCTGCCAACATTAAAGAAGCATGGTTGTTTTGATAATGGCAATTTTAACATTTTCAATAGAGAATTTGACAAATGTAAACAATAAAATAAAGTTTTTATAATTTAGTGCGGTTGAAGCCGCACAGGAGGAGCTAGTTTTTTATACAGAAACAATACTGTATACAACGTTTTTTTACGCGTTCAACAAATGTTCAGAATTGAACATTTATAAAATTTAACATTCATGTCATGTCTCACGTACAATTTCCTTTGCTCTGAAAACAAGCGACAAGCTGATATACGCGTGTTCAGGAAATATGAGTTGGACAACGTTAGGCCTTTTTGTTATTGGACACAATTTTAACGAGAAAAAAATAACATTATTTATTAGGAAAAACACATGTAATTATTATTTCAATTGTACTTATTACAATAAAATTACCTTATGATGTGAAGTCGCGAAACCCGCTGAGTACAAATTCAGGAAAAAATTCCATTTTAATAACAACGAGACAAACTCCGCCTCTTCCTGCAAATCAGTAATTAGATAGCAGTGAGTGCAAACGCAGCGATGATAATAAAAGAAACTAGCCCTAACGTTTTTCGTACAACTATACCAACATTATGAAGAGTAAAATTTTGTTTGTTTGATTGTAATGAAATAACTCAAAAACTACTGGGCCGATTTCAAAAATTCTTTCATCATTAAAAAGCTACGTTGTCAGTTAGTAACATCATCATCACCAGCTCACTGCATCGTCCGCGTGGAATTAAAAACATAACTAAATAGCCAATGTGTTCTTACAAGCTATCATCTACATCTGTACCAAATTTCATCGAAATCCGTTCAGCTGTGTAGGCTACAAACTCTAACAAATATCCATCCATCTAAACTTTCGCATTTATAAAATTAGTTGTAAATTGATGATACGAACATGGTTGTTTATTACAACTATGAGAAAACAGCGTTGTAAAGGTAAAATCGTTTACTATAAGTTTTGATTTCCATTGAATTCGAATTTAACTAAATTATTATCAACTAATAACGCGTCCGTCTATTCAAGCGACGAAAAATAAAACATATTTTTTCGTAAAATTCTAATATAGTATTATAATCTTAATAGCATTATAAAAAGGACAGCTGTGTCTCTAATTACGCATTAATTTTGCGTAATGAGCCAACTTTATACAATAACAGCTTGCGACATAGAATAAAAAGAATAATTATTTTTATAAACTTACTAAATTTCGCCCGCAACTCTGTCAGCGTGGAATTAAGAAAAAACAAAAGTGAGTACCTTATGTGTTCTTTCAGACTATCTTCCACATCTATACCGAATTTCATCGAAATTCGATCAGCCGTTTAGGCTTCAAACTGTAACAAACATCAATCCATCTAAAATATCGCATTAATAATATTAATAAGAAGTAAGGTTAAAATGATTAATATTTTATAAACACAGTCGAACAGATAAGAAATAATTGTTTTATATTTATTTGATACTGGCATCGTGACTTTGTGTGGAAAAAAAAATATGGCCTAAGTCACGAAGTGATAACGTAGCTTTTTAATGGTGAAAGTATTTTTAAAATCGACTCCGTAATTTTTGAGTTATGTCAATATATACATAAATACATATCTTTCCTCTTTATAATGTTAGTAAAGACAAATGTTCAAGTTTTTGTCATACTCGGGAAGCATCGCAGTGTTAAAGTGAAAATTGTAAATTGTAAAAACATTATCAAGTTGCTCACAAAAAGTTTTACGAAACCAAAATACTACATAACTGAGTTTTATGTTGTCAAGAAAGTGGTCATATCTATACTAATACTACAAAGAGGAAAGATTTGTATCTTTGTATGTATTAAAATAACTCTAAAACTACTAGACCGATTTCAATAATTCTTTCACCATTAAAAGTCTACATTATGAAAGAGTAAGTTTTACATTTTTTTATATAACACACAGGTGAAGTCGCGAGTAATAGCTAGTAACTTATAATACCAATTTGCTCGTCCAATCTATGTTTTAAATCAACTGGTACATTTTAATATTCTTTGCCATTTATGTTGTACATTCTTTGCCACCTACTTTATGTAGATCTTTAATATTACATGTAATTACGGTAATGCTTCTATCACAAGATGAATTAATTTAAATTCGGGTATCAAGTGAAAGTTTTAAATGAAACTCTATGATGTTGCGCGGCCAGTTTGACCGTTTATACTAATAAATACCCTCTGCTAAAAGCTGAGTTTCCGCACGAATAATTTGTATACAAAGCATTTACTTTACACTAGTTAATGTTTCGTACAACTTTGTATAAGTTTTGCACATTTAATGTTAGGGTTGTATTATGTAACTTTTAGTAGTTTCGTGATTGAAATTTGATTAAAACTTAATTTAGATAATCTGTAGAAATTTAACTGAATATTTACAAAAGTTTCATCAGCGTACTAACTATCGCCCGCGACTAAAAGAAACAAAACCAAGTAGCCTGTATTCTTCCAGCCTATCCACTACATATATGCCAAATTTCATTGAGATCCTTTCAGCAGTTTAGGCTACAAACTCTAACAAGCATCTATCCATCTAAACTTTCACATTTATGATATTAGTATTTTTATTAAATGGAATTCCATTAACTGGAAATATGTCTATACCATTATAATAAAACATAAACACACACTTCTTTGTTGCCTAAGATGTCAGCAATTAAAATAAAAAATAAAAAAAACTTTATTAGAGCAATTACAGCATATTTTTGAATAATTCTTTAAAAAAAAACCCTACACTTACGTCACGCTTTAGGCTATAAAACTTAGGGGGTAAATATTTTGGATAAAAACCCTAAAATGCGAAAGAGACTTATAAGTTGCTGCCAACATCAAGGAAGCAAGATTGCCAAGGTTTGTCATGTCATGTCATTTTGACATTTGCTATTAACAATTTGACAAATGTAAACAATGAAATAAAATTTTCATAATTTCATGCGGATGAAGTCGCATGGGAACAGCTAGTGGAGTGATAAATAACGATATATTTTAAAGTAGAGATATCTTTTTTTAAACTCGTGCAATCCATTTAAATAGATGTATTCAGTTGGGGCGCGGAAAAATGTCGAGGCTCTGAAGTCGACATTAATATTATTTTCAACAGACTTTTATTACACGCGGAGAGGATTTTTTTTTAAACTGTGTTTAAATTATTATTTAATTTATGCTGGGATGTAGTTTCCATTTATTTAATCAATACCTACTGATGTCAAACTCAAGTTATATGTTCGGAAACGCATTTCAAGAAGTTATTGAACCAATAACACTAACGAATGGTTAATAGTAGATGGGAAACTGGCCATTAATAAACAAATAATAAAAAGTCGCTGTTTATTTAATTTATTAAGACGATACAATAGCCTATCAATGTATTTACATTCTATATCCATCCTTTTTAAAATAGTTAAGGGACTATTCGAAATAATATCAATTACTTGAATTACTAGAATCGATGTTCGAATCGATTTTATATCGATGTGCGGTTGACAGGGAACTTTTACACTCGATTCCAGACTCGTAATTGCATTCCGAATCGTAATCCAATTAACTAGGGTGAGCGACGCAATCGCCCACAACAGCCGTCTGTTGACAGCACAGTGGCGGCGTGTTTGATGTTCTATATACATATGTATTGTTTATAGTTACTTATTTGTTTTTTATGGCCCAAGTGGAATGGTAATTAAAAAAAGGTTTAACAATCTTTATCCTTGTATTATCTACATTAGAAATAGAAAGATTCAACATAAAATTCAAGCTCAAACAGTTACAAAAAATTAATCTAATTTAATACATAGTTAAATAATAGTGCAACTAACTATACCAAGTGTTTGCTTTTTAGTAAGTGATTGTAAACATTTAAATATTCAGTACGTCTATGAATTCGCTAGTGTGTTATGAGATAGTTTGTGTTGAAAATTAATCAGCCACCGGTGGACTCGAAGTCGGCGTCACTCCGGTGAATTGGAGCAGGACTAATTCGTATGTGACGATTGTTCCTGCAATCTGAAATTAAAAGAAACTCTGACACTTTTCATACAGAAGCAGTCTTTAGAATTAAATACGAGTATAGCAAGCTCTTTTACAAATGTTTTTATCACTTGTTTAACGCAGTTATAATCACTTACCGAAAGAACAAGGCCTTTCTTTATATTGAAGAACTGAAGTCCACTCAATGCCACCGTATCCCCGTGGACTTGATCCAGAAACCTTTTGATCTAAAAAAATTGTAAATCATTTAAACTTCGTAAATATGTAATATATATTTTTTTTGACCAACATATTTTCTCCTATGACACACCATCCTATTTCAAGTTTATCTTAGTTTTATAATTTTTGGAGACTCTAGAAAGGATGATTTGTTGACAATGTGTAAAATACTTATCGTGCTAACATTTCTGTATAGATATTTTTATAAATAACTAGCTGTTTCTTGTGGCTTTGTCCGCGTGAAATTAAGAAATATAGCCTATTTACTCACAGATAAATTACCTTTCTAATGGTGCAAGGCTTTTAAAATTGGACAAGTAGTTTTTGAGTTATTCAATACAAACAGAAACACAAATCTTTCCTCTTTATATAGATAACACATATTTGTATAGATAACAATATTATAGTGTAACTTGACTACTTAAATACCTCGACGCTATATGCATTGTAAGATACGTCGTACAAGCTGTCCGCTGGCTTGCGACTGGCCGTATACACCTTCGCTGCTATGAGAGACACGGCCAAAGAACGCATCACCAGGAATATAAAGGAATACATGAAGTACGTAGCTTGCTCGTAGCCGTGTAGAGGTCTACAATTTAATAGAGGATAGAAATACTACGATTTAATAAAACGATTAATGCTCACAATTGTTACTGAGACCTGTGTTTTGTCAGAAGATTTTATTGTTATAATTTAAATTTTGTACCTGATATCATGTGCTCGACATAATGGTGTCGCTTTTATTCCGTCCCTGTAATTAAAGCAAACTTATAAACATCCACAATTGCAGATGCGTTACCTATCCTTAATTGACGGAGGAGGAGACGCACATAAAATGGATATTTCCCCTCCCTATGCGTCTCCTCCACCGTTAAATCCACATTTCTTTCCCATCCTTTCCTCTTAAGAATAGGGTGAAAAGGGAAAGGGACTAAAATTAGTCCTCCGGTACCACACTCATCAGACGAAACGTGGAATTGCTTCTACTTCATGCCTGTTTTCTGTGTGGTCGTGGTATTATACCGACCCATTCGTGTGAAGATATTAAAGCGGGCTCTACCACTGTTACCACTCTACAAGCTTGGTGGTATGGACAAAAACATTGAATTAACTTTGTGCGCTATTGACCCAAGCCAATATGAGAACCAATTTGCGTCCTGTTACCGAAAACGAAGTAAACTCATTAATTACATACGTGACTGAGGCTCGGAGCTTCACAACTTCATTAAGTATCCCTTGAATGATTACGTCTGAATAGATTAGAACCCGGGGCTAATAATAACAGAAGTGTGAACCGGACGTCCTTATTGGATCTCCTCTATGTTAATAGATATTGACACACGCTACCAATAGCCAATGTTGGGTGAAGGTTGAAACTTGTTTGGCAAACATTTTATGTACTTGCTCTAGATTGATTAAACTAGGAATTATTAAGCGACTAGCTTTCGCCCGCGTGGAATTAAAAAACAAAACAAAAGTGAGTCTATGCGTTCTTTCAAACTATCTTGTGCATCTTATGCCAAATTTTTATTCAGCCGTTTAGGCTACAAACTCAAACAAACATCCATCCAATCTTTTGCATTTATAATATAAGTAAAATTATTATTACCGACTCTCTTTTTAAATACTTACTTTAAAGTATTATACAGTTGTAGACAAATAAAGAATAGGTTGTTAGCGAATGCTATGAAGATGATAGCACCAATGACTTCGTCCACTCGCCGCACGAGAGACGCAGCTCGGTTGTAATCTTCACGGACTGTTCGCCAGAAGTGTTGCGGCATATTCTACAATACAAAATACTGTAAGTTTCCAACGAAATATGATGTTTCTCTCATTTGTCTGTGAAAAAACTAAGATAGAAAGATTTATATGCATGTTTTGGAAACGATTACTATGGCCGTGACTTGCAATAGGTATCGGTTAATCTTTTCAAGGTCAACTAAGGTCATTTTATTGAGAAGGAATATATGCATATTATAATACATTTTAGGAAATAATCGAGTTAATGGAATAATATTAATACTATATAGTAGTTGTATCCTTACTTTTCCACGAGCTTTAAGAATTTTTTCATTGACTTGCTCCAATCTCGAAGTTAAATAAAAACTGATGCAGATTATAAATAAATCCGCGAAACTCCACGTAAAAGTCGACTGTATGTTGAATACCTTAAATAAGTTAGATTCAATTTATTCCTCGATTTTTCTAAAGTTTAAAGTGCACATTTAATATGTTTTTAAAAATTAATAGTTAAGTCGTCGTTTTCTCTTCTTATTGTAGAAGAGCGTAAATTTAAACTTAAAAACATTTTTATTACAAAATTTACAGATTTAAGTGTGACATTTTTGATTTTTTCTACTTTAAAAACTCTAATAAACATGCATATATTATATAAAAGTTTGTATATTTCTCTTAAAACATTTGTGCCATTCGATACTTCTAATACTTTTTCTCGATGTAATATTCACCTGTGAGAGAAATCCAATGAAATGATTGTAAGGCATAAATGCATAGACCCAAGGGTAGCTGTGCTTCACAAACGCCTCGTAGACATTCTTCTCCGGCTCGCAATCAATCACCGCCGCCAGTCCTGACAGATCTGAGAGGAAATGTTCAACTGCAAAACGTTAATTCGATTTTATATTTTCTATCCCATTGCAAAAGTAATTTTTCCTTTAATCTAGACCTCTAGATAGATTTGATACTTTTAAACGACTATTTTTTGTAATTAAAATGGCAAAAGAACTAATGAAGTGTAGAGAAATTAATATAAAACAAATAACATCGATCTCAAAAACAAATTTTAGTATCTAACTGGTTCTCATTTGGACTTTTTCCGACTAAAAAAAGTTTTGTTGACAGGAAGCTCTTACCGAGAGCCAATGCCAGTACTAGTATGCAAGTCATGTTACATTTCTTGACCAATGAGGTATCCATATTGGGGCTGGTCGCTTCCGTCATAGAGATTTGCAAGCAGAGGCGCGGCCATTTAGTTGCCATACGTAAAAATAACACCGTTGTGAAAAAGTTGGAGCTATAGAAAGCTAGAGTTGCTGAAAAAAATGTTAGAAAAATACGGATAAGTATACGGATTATAATAATATTGTAAAAGTGTACTACTTTTAATGATAATTATACTATCTACATTATCTTACTTCTTACTAATATAATAGAAGCGAAAGTTCACATGGATGTTTGTATCTAGGTATCTCCAGAACGTCTTAGCGGATATGGATGAATTTTGGCTTAGAAGTAGAGCACAGTCTGGAAGAACACGTAGGCTACTTACTGTTAGGAATAAAATTAGTACCGCGCTATAGAATTGGCGCAACTCTAGATTATCGGCATAAACGTCACATCCCTAGCTGACAGATGTCAATGTCACTAGAAGTATGGTTAGATTGGCGCGTAACTTGAGTCCTGGCGAGAAGTGTTGCTCTGAGTTAAAAGCGACAGTATCAATTAAATAAGTTGTCTAATATTACCAAGTTTTGTTTTTAATACTTCGCGATAGAAGTCACGGGTAAAAGTTAGAGATAAATAAATTTTACATATCAGTCAAACTGACGACATGCAGGGAGTCTTCTATAAAAATATTATATGGTCAATTTGTTTAGGAGCGCGCCGCAGTAAACACCAAATGGGCCATAAAGAATAAAATATACTTCGCCATACACTTATGTTCGTGTCATGAATATCTAATGTCTTGCTCTTAGTTTTGTTAACTATTAAACATATCGATGATAATAAGAACACTTTCATTGTTTTAGATTAACATTTTGACAACTGTTTAGATATTTTTTCAAAAAATTAATGTTATACTAACAAAATTAAAAATAGATTATTAGTAAGTAGATTTTACTACTTACTATTAGAAGATAACGACGTATCAGTATCCTTCAAATACTTTAATATAGAAAATAACAACATCGTGGCTTGGCCCAGTATTGAAAAGATAGTATACATGCATCTTGCTGAAAAAAATTTAAACCTGAAACACATTACTCAACGTATTCATTAATGTAATGAAATAGCTCGACTCAAGATTTATTTTTTCCAAAACACAAAGAAAACAAAAGTTATTGAATGAAACTTGGAGATTCTAGAAAAAAAAAGATGGTAATCTTACTTTAGATGGATGTAGCCTAAACTACTTAACATATTTTGATAAAAATTGGCACAGATGTAGAATAAAGTCTGGAAGAATACATAGGCTACTTACTTTTTTTTAAATTCTACGCAGACAGAGTCGTAGGCGAAAAGTAGTAAAATAAAAAAACTCAAAATATCGGTTAAATGAATCGTTTATGACATTTTGGTATTATAACATTTTTTTCATTGTACGAGACCAGTTCTGCGTGACAATTGTAACGTGTTTTTTTATGAAGTACAAGCTGTTTCTCGTCTCGTTCACGTGAAATTAAAAATATAGCTTATGTTACTTACAGATAAATTACCTTTCGAATGGTGAAAGAATTTTTAACATTGGTTGAGGAGTTTTTACGTCAATTAAATGCATACAAACATAAAAATCTTTTCTCTTTATAATATTAGTGTTGAAGAAATGTCTGTACTTACTTCATTTTAGTTGCGTCGATATCGAAAACTCCAATTACCGGATTAAGACCGAAGCATTGTCCTATTATTATTGGTAACTTCATTGCGGACTGAAACGTCGCTAACCGTTGTTTGTATTGACTTCTAGAAATGAAATCTTTTCGCATTTTGTTACAAATACCTGGAAATATTAATTTTTAAATAACAGTAAATGACAAGATCTCATTTTACTAAAAAAATTCCATCCCTACAGAATAATACTTCAAATTATTTTCATTACGCACTTCGCTTTAATTTGCTAAATCCAATAAACATTTTTTTCGTTTACAGGTTTCATTGGACGCTGTGAAACTTATTGAACGGATAGAATTTTTATTGATTTTGTACGGCTTCCGCCAAACTAATTGAAGTGCCATTCAGAGCAGATTATATCTGATATCTAACTAAATAATCGCTCTTGATATTTGATTTGTTGACTTGTTTTTAAGGTTACTTTTAAATTACATGAAAAACAAAAGATAATCAAACAATATTACGCAGATAAATAATACTCGGATTTAAAAAAAATGTAGTTTTAATATGTGTAGATAATTTTAGTAAGAATTGTCTTTTGTTTTTGCAAGTTTTCATAACCAAGTATTACTGCAATTATTACTATTGATAGTTGCATTATGGTCCAAAAATATAATCTTATAGTTATTTTAATATGTACCATTGTATACAGGTAAGAGTAACTAAAACTTACCTCAAATATTATAAAAAAAATTGATATTTCCTACGTTGATTTAGGTCATAAGTCTAAAACCAAATGCTAGAATTTCTACATCCATATGTATCATATCAGTTCTTTCTACAAGCTATTTTGTTTGCTAAAATAACAAGTTAGTCCCATCGACGTTTGTTTTGACATATAGTTGCTAGATGTTTTCGCCAGGGTCTTATAAAAATATGATTTAGTTTCTACAAATCTAAAATATGTTAATGGTTTTAAAATTCTGTTCATATTTTCATAGTATGTTTGGAAATAAGAGATTGATTGTTTTCTATTCAAGTTTCTTCAACAATAATCAAACGACTAAATGATAGCAATGTGATATTCAAAACAAAGATGGAAGGAAATGGATAAATGATGCAAAGATGTGAAGATATTAAGTTTAACAGTGGTAGAGCCCGCTTTAACATCTTTGGCACGAATGGGCCGGCACGCCCGGTGTAATACCACGACCACACAGAAGACAGGCGTGAAATGGAGGCAATTCCGTGTTTCGTCTGATGATTGTGGTGCCGGAGGCCTAATTTAATTCCATTACTCTTTACCACCATTTTCTTATAAGAGGAGTATGGGAAGGGGAAGTGGATTTGACGGTGGAGGAGATGCATAGGAAGGGGATAAGTCCTCTTTATGTGCGTCTCCTCCTCCGTCAGATAAGGGTAGGCAACGCATCTGCAACTGCGGATGTCTATGGGTAGCGGTCGCTTCGCCATTTTGGCGGATTCAGGTGGCCGCTTGCTCGTTTGCCACCTTATATTATAAAAAAAAGATATTTATCCTGGGCCCATAATCAAATTTGAGTTAGGACATATGAGGTGTTGTCTATGACCATTATAAATCGGCTTCAATTTTGATCTTCTTTCTATTGAACATTCAACTGAAGGTATATATGTAGTGTTTATTGAAAAAGTTAACATTGTTTATAGTTAACCAATGTCCGAATACAGAAGTTATTCAATAGTTTAATATTGATTTATAGTATAGCTTGCATATGACCCTCCTCTTTGTTGTTGCGGATAAGGTTGGGTGGGATTCTTTGTGTGTTAGTCAATATTTACGACCCTGTTTATTACATCGTAATAGTATCTCTGGTTATCTCTGATTTATAGAGAAGGCAGGTTCATATCTACGAATAGTTCAAAGAGTTTTTTTTGTTAAGTATTGAATGAAATTTGTTTTATGTTCTAACATTCCAGTTCTTTAAAAAAAGATTTGCCACACTGTTGATAATTGGTACATCACTTAATATGAGGTAGGACATTTGTTTCAAATAAAATAATATTAAAACGGTGATATAATATTTTATTAAAATACCAAAACAAAAGAAATACGGAGTATTGATATGCCAGCATTATTCTGTTTCCTTCCACGTTGTATTTCTGCGAAGCGATGTACCGTGTATGTCCAAATTAAATTGCAATAGAACCAATTCGTATGTGAAAAGTGTTCCAACGACCTGAAATAAATAAAAATATATTTCTTACTAGATTTCGCCCGCGACAGAGTCCACGAGGAATAAAAAAAAACAAAAGTGAGTTGCCTATGTATTCTTCAGAATATCCTCTAAATCTGTACTAAATTGCATCGAAATTCTTTCAGTCGTTCAGGCCACAGACTCTTATAAACATCCATCCATGAATATAAACCTTCGCATTTATAATATTAGTGTGTAGTATTAGTTCGGAATATTACGAAGTATTACTCTGTCGTTTTAATTACAATCATTATAATATGTACTGCACTACTTTTAAATTATTATAAAAATTTTTTTGTTTTTCGCTTAATTTCTTTAAAAAAAAATACCAATTTACCTTAAGTAAAGTACTTCTAGTGACATAAAAATAGACACCACTCAGCGCTGTCGTTGTATAACGAATCTGGCGAATGAATCTTTGCACCTGGGAATAGCAATATTGAGAGATTAAATAAAAAAAAAAATCACACGACATTTTTAATTTACTTTTTAATGTAATATGAAGAATTTTTAATTTATATAAAGTTTCTGCTATAAATAAACAACTATTTACAATATTTAAATTACTCCTTATTAATTTTCAGTCATTAAATAAACAATTTAAACACGCCCATGAGTAACCTCAGTTGTCCGTGTTCATCATGCAATGTTATTGTTTAGGTAACACAAGTTTCACCAACTTACCTCGAGCGTGTATTCAGATGCGGGAACATATCCAACAACAAACAGCGGCTCTTGTGCCGCCCTGTGTACGTTCGCCGCGAGCAAACACATCACACTTGCTCTCGTCATCAAAAACACGAACGAGTATATATAGTATGTCAAATGTAATGCACTGGGAAAATCAATTTTAAATATTATTAACATAAAGTTTAAAAACGAGAAAATCATTTACATCTGCGATTAATTAAATACCTAAGTCTAGGTTTGTTTTAATATTGATTTTACATAAAAAATTTTGTGGTAATCTAAGGATGTACTTACGATATAGCGTTCTTATTTCCACCCTCACTACCTAATGGAAACCCGTTTCTGAAATGAAAAAAGATTTTAGTTCTTAACGTTCAGTGTCACCAGGTAATTAATTTACAATCAGGTTTTATTCATACATTTTAAAAAATACATTTTATTAGTTGTTACATTCAAATCGTCCTTACTAGACTATAAATATCATTAAAAAAATTAGAGTGGTCCTTAATCACATCCATAATTTGGCAATACCGACTGAATCGTAGGCCTTCTACGTTCTACGACGTAGCATAAGTGCTATTTCGTAGACACAGAACAACAGAACGTTCCTCAATATCTTTGGAACAGTAGAAACTTGCTTTGTCTGTTGCTCTAAGTTTACCAATTTAAAGACGACCAGTAACTATTTTTGGTATAGGTAATATGATTAATATTATTACATTAAAGCATTAAATAACTGCAAAGAGATGAAGAACAGGTTTGTGAAAAAAGACAGCAGCACCAGATAGCAGAATCTTAAATCAATTTCTTTAACCAAAGCCACGAGATGAGAGTAGAGCTTTCTTAAATCCTCCCAAGGAATTGATTTCTGTAAAAAAAATATAGTAATAATTGAATTTCTGTACATATTAAACGTCTTAGTAGACGTGAAAGATCACTGTAGATGAAATTGTAGTGATCGTGTTCCTTCGTTACTTTTACACCCAATAGGGGCGCTTCAAAAATCTCATTCGGAGTCGATATCGATACGAATACCTTCTCTCAAAAATATGGCGTCTCCGATGTACTCGTAATGAAGTTTATTAATTTATTAATTGAGAACTTACTGATTTTTCATTGTCATAAATAATCTTATTCAAATCTTGTAAATATGATGTCAAATAAATACTTATGCACATAATCATTACGTCAGTTACGTTCCATAGAAATGTTGCTTGTAAGTTTACTATCTGAAATTAAATAAAAATTTTAACGTAAAAATTAAATTTAGATTCAAACCAGATATACATTTACTAGGAGAGTTACAAATGCATAGAATAGGACGTAACATGAACACGTAAATCTTTGGACGTAAACCACTGGGTCGATGTATTACAAGCAATACTTAGTTTATCTGTGAAGTTGACAGATGGCGTTACAAGTTTTCACCATGTTCCTGTGTGTACAGCGGGCTGAATTCTCTTCTTAATTTTAATGGGTTATGAAGGATTAAAATCTTACCACAAATGGTACAGCTTTCCATAAACTGTAACTAGTCATATTAAAGATGAAAGGCATTGTAGTTTTGAAATGTCTTTCAATAACTTTCTCGCCAAATTTGGATTTATTTAATTCGTCCATTGCTAAATACAATTTCGATAAAATAGACAATATGTGCTCGACTGCAAAAAAATAACTTTTTTTAATTTATAAATAATAGTCACATTAAGTGGAAGGGTGTTTCCCGTTGGGTCTATCGGTCCAATGGCAAACACATAGTAACTAATCTTTTAAAACGTGCGATTTTAATTGAGTTTTTTTTTATGAACAAACTGTTTTATTTATTACTAGCTGTTGCTCGCGACTTTGCCCGCGTGGAATTAAAAAACATAGCCTAAGTTACATACAGATAAATAACCTTCCTAATGGTGAAAGATTTATTAAAATCGGCCCAGTTGTTTTTGAGTTATTTCAATACAAACAAAAATACAAATCTTTCCTCTTTATAATATACAGTATAGATACAGACCAACAGCTAAAGCCATAACGATATATGTAATCCATTTGTATGTCCATGTATTATGTTGCCGTCGAATTCCAATTAAAATATTTTCAATTTCCAATGTCTTTTTGATTAGTTTCGTCCAATTTTTGGATAGCTTAATTAATAACACTGCTGTCATCAATCCGGTTGAATAAAATATAAAATTACCTAAAAATATATAATCAACACTTTAGGATACAGAAAAATTGTTCAATCTATGTCACTGACAAATCGTGTACTGCGTTAGTCTTTAATTGTTCGAGATAAATCGTTAATAATGACACACGATTTGCTGTGTCTACGATACGCTAGGATAAATACAAATGCGCGATGTTCACGCGATGTACAATTGGGAAATCTGTTGATGTTCCATTTACAAGGTACAGTCGTTTAAACATTTGGGACGCACTGAGATGATAATGGAACGATAACCTATAGGACCCTGCATTAAAATGTGTCTGTACAAAAAAGTTTGCGGGTTATTGATTTATTATTATTTCGCTGTTGGAAACTTAATTATACCTTAATAGTTGTAAAAAGAGACAGGGAATTATTGCAAGGAACAAGGCAATTTTACTGCGAATGGAACATCGTTTACCTCCGCGACTGTACATTTAAATATGTACTCAAGTAATGCACTATACCTCTTATTAAGTCAGACGTTTGAAAATAAATTCTAAAATGACTTTTACTTACTTGAAGTTATAAGACTATTGGCGAGAATAAATGATACCAAACTCAAAGCCGTTGTAACAATCTGACCCAGAACAGAAGCAACATGAAATACTACATAAGGATAGCATACACTGCATCTGTTAAGAAAAATGTTAATGAAAAAAAGCGCATTATAAAATACTATCTGTTGCTCGCGAATTCGTACGCGTTTAGTTAAAAAATAATAAAAGATATAGCTTATATTACTCACAGATGAATTACCTTTCTAATGGTAAAAGATTTTTTAAATGAGCCCATTAATTTTTGAGCTATTTCAATACATACAAAAACACAAATCTACCCTCTTTACAATGTTAGTATACATTAGTACAGAACTTTTCTATATTATCAATATTAATCAATAAAAAGAATTGTCTTCATTAATCAGAATAAATTTAAAGTAAAAGCCATAATCAAAAACGTTTAAATATTACCTTATTTTAGATATTGTTGACTCAGAAAGACAATCGACAGGAAAGAATCCTGTCCAACGACATAACCTCATCGGTTCACGCATAATACTTTGCAGCTCAGAAATTTTATTCTTTGATAATTTGTTCAAGTTTTCCATCTTAAAAATATGTACAATAAAAAAATAAACAATGGTATAAAAAAATGTAATTGCGAATGATTTAGATGGATGGAGTTAAACTTTGTAAAATGCTGAACGGATCTCGATAAAAGGCATAGATATAGAGGATCTTCTGGAAGAACACAAGCTACTTACATTTGTTTATCCACGCGGACGGAGTCGCGGTCAAAAGCTAGCATAAATAAAAATGCTTTAATTTCAAACAATGATACTTATTTGAAAAGCGTAACTATTCGATGTAAGGTCCTGTATAGGATAATAAATAACGCCCGTTTTTTATACGACTTCTAATTGTCATTTGAAATATTAATCAATCATGTTGGAATGTTTGGTTAGGTAATGTTTGTTTAACTTTTTCGATGATCGTTGCTTTGATTTTTATGATAATTTATTTTGCCTTAAGTAAACTTGTTACGTTGTGACAGGTTAAGTATTTGATAAGTGAAATACAAAAAGTAAAATGTAAGGTAGAATATTTTTTATGTCTAAAATATTGTTGATCGAAAATTGTATGAGTTCACGATAAGTGTTTATTTAGGGACATCAATCATATTTTTAAGATAAAAACAATAATATACAATATCGTGGTAAATATTGAACATGGGAAATAAGATAATAAACAATGAAATAACTTACAAATAAATATATACATTCATGAAATTCAACATTATATTTTTCTGTATGTTTGGCATTTGTTTATTCAATAGAAATTATATAAAAACATTTACACTAGAATTATATGACATAATTTGTATTTTTGGTACGTAACCAGTAATTCAAAAATTACTAAATCAATTTTAAAAAATCTTTTGCCATTAGAAAGATATGTTATATTGAGCAACATCATCATCTCCCCTGCCTTATCCTACTCCCGTAGGGTCGGCGTTATGCTAAGCAAAGCTATTTTTGTAAGTAGTAAATTTTACTTTTTTAATTTCACGCGGACGATGTCGCGGGAGATGTATAGTGTACACAACCATTACGACAATGGTGCAATAAAAATTAAACAAAAGAAAATCGGGAGCAAAACCTTTTGTGTAAACATAAGAGATATTTAGATCTGATATTCCTTTAATGGGACAGAATATAAAATCCTATGATAATGCTGAGGTTCTGTTGTTATTAATAAAAACATTGTATAACACAAAAGATAAGGAGACAAAAGCATAATGAAGATTTTATCCTTTTACTGTATTTTGGTGAATTATTTATTATTATTAACTAGCTGTTTCCGTACGATTTCATCAGCCTAAAATTATTTTATTGTTCACATGTGTCAAAATCAATCGCAAATGTCAAAATGACATGACTTGACAAACTTTGGCAATCTTGCCTCCTTGATGTTGGCAGCAACTTATGGTCTCTTTCCCACATTAGGGTCTTTATCCAAAATATTTACCCCCTTAGTTTAATGGCGTGAAAATATATAGCCTAAAGCGTGATGTAAGTGTAGGGCTTTTTATTAAAAAAATAATTATTCAAAAATATGCTGTAATTGCTGACATTTTAGGCAACAAAAAAGTGTGTGTTTACGCTTTATTATAATAGTACAGATTTAAATTTTTAAACACTGAAATGTTTCTGTAAATCACTTACTTTTTTTACTTTTTTGTAATTACTATCCTTTTTAATCCAAATTTGGTTTATAATAATTGAATGGTGGAATTCGATACCACGACAGTGAGATCCCAAGATTTCAAATTTTAGATATCCAACGTCTTACATCCGTGCGTTGTTTCAAACGTTTACAAACTAAACGTAACGTTAAAGGTAACTTCTGAGTATTCTCTAGTCATATTCAAAGTCAGTCAGCTAAGACTTTGAGGTAGGTAGATGTTTATTTGCAAGGACATCCCGCCCAAGGCAACTCACTCTGTTCTTGTGTATAGCTTTTGATGTTCACATGTTGTAGAACACTTGATTAGCTAATATTCAAACTAAAACTTAGTTACTAGCCTAAAACTATAATATAGTTGAAACAGATTACCTTCTTCGCAATGTCATGCATAAATTTGTTTAAGCTCTTTTTGCAATAGAAATGCAACTGAGAATGGTAAACAAGGTTTACTTTTTTTAATAATATAAGATAGCAAAAGCAAGCGGTCACCTGAATCCACCGAAATGGAAAGCTGCCCATAAACATCCGCAATTGCAGATGCGTTGCCTTATTCGTCTATTTCTATCAATTCTAATTGGATTAAAAGAGCTCAAGTATCAAGATTGATTTGGTTCTTGTGTTCGTACAATGTAAGCTAACAAACTGAATAAAAGGACTTCATTTGTTATTCAAGTTTGGTACAATGGTTAAGGTAGAGCTGAACGGTAGCGTGGATTTATTACTCTGGGAAAGGAAACCCCTTTGTTAGTCGTAGTTACGGTGATATTACAGGTAGAGAGTTTGTTTCTAACTCTACCTTGTTATTGTGCCCATTTTCAACTGTAGCTAACTAAACGTAACATTCTTACTAGCTCTACGCTGTGACGGAATGCAATGCAATCTTTCTAAATAATTTGGTGTTCATTTTTTAATGTTTTTTTATTAGCGTGGTTGTAGAAATACAGATATTATGTAATTATGTACTTGATTGTTAAACAAAATCTAAAATTAGAAATGCAACAATGGTTTGAATGAAAAAATAATTGTCATATAAAGTAAACCTTGCAAAACCATTTTAATATTCTATAAGTTTATTTTTTTAAAGTCGAAGAGAAAATTTAATACCAACTTGATAGAGAGTAAACATAAAATGTAAAAAAGTGAGAGACGATGGTTGTGTTAAAAAAATGTAATCCTATTAAATCTTCCGAGATTGCGGCGAGAGCAAGAAAATGTAAATTTCGCTAAAAGATAAGGCGATAGCGTCGCGGTAAAGGGCAATTTACTCTTAATTAAGCTCGGATGTGTTTTATATTAACCTCTAACCGGGTTAAATAGTTATTAGGTTAAATAATTTTTACTTTTCATCACTAGCTTTAACAACAAACGTATACATTATTTAGAATTTAAGATTCTCTAAAGTAACAAAGATAAAGGTTTACCTAACAGTACAACAGTGGTAACGCCCGCTTTAACATCTGCACGAATGGGTCGGCTCGCCCGCTGTAATACCACACTTCTGTGTGACAGACGTGAGGCCCAATTTTAGTCGCTTTTCTGTCCCACATTTTTCTATTAAGGAAAGAATTGGATGGTAAAGTGGATTTGATTGGAGGAGACGCGTAGGAAGGGAAAATATCATCTTCATGTGCGTCTCTTCCGCCGTCGATTTAGGGTAAGCAACGTATGTGCAATTGCGGATGTCTACGGGTAACGGTCGCTTCGCCAATTTGGC